AGCATTATATTTTTATTTAAATCAATAAAAACCCTCCTTTTTCAGGATAAATATTTTAATACTTTTCATGCAAACATGAATGCCTTGTGGGAAGCCAGGGAGTCTGTTGTTTTTGTTTTCTTTTGTTTTTTTTAAAAGAAGGAATCAGGGAATAAGAATATCTAATAATTTGGAAACTGTTCATGTCTACTTTTCCTCTATGTCTGCCACCTCAACAAGTCACTCTCAAATTTAGAATTCTGGAATCATTACAGTGCACAAACTCAGTCATCGGCACAATTAAAAAAAAGGAAACAACTGCTTTATAGTCACTAAAGATTGATTTAAATGAAATGACGTGCAATAACTATAGGGATCTAGCCTCATCTATATGCCCCCATGCAACCTTCATTAGCATTCAATCAAGATTTGACAGTGCCACAAGCAAAATACACTTATATGAAATTATGCTTACTATGTTATATATTTGTTGTATTCCTAATGGAAAATACACAAATATAATTAGCCAGAGTCATATCAATCACAGTCAATTACTGTGTAAATCACACATTAAAGGAAAGAAATGTAAAGTAAAAGTTCTGAAGCCCACATTCTGTACCAAATCAGTCTTGATAAATGGTAGCTCCTCCCCAGCCTGGACTGAAGATTTATGTTGTGGTATACCCTTTCCAATTGTTTTTCTGCCTCAGCAGATAGTTATAGCACTAGATTTGATTTTGATTTGTAATCCAGCAATTGCCAGATTATGAAAAACAAAATGAAAAGTCCAGAGTGCTGGCTTTCCTTTAAATCTACTATTGTGGAATGACTTTCAACTATGTCAAAGCATCCTAATAGAAGGATAGTCAAAGTAGTTGGGTTCACCAGGGACCTCCATATCTAGTCATGAACAAATCAGCATTGCAGAATATTTGGACTTCTAAGGCTAACATAGGACACAATATAGGGCAAACCTCTAATGTAGACATACCCTAAAGAAACAGATGAAATATATGGCATGTCCAGAAGGACTCAAATCAAGAAAAGGGATTAGAGACAACAGGCAGAAAGAGGGAGACATTCTGGAGAAATTATGTCTCCTAAAGGCTATTTCTTATGTCTTGTTTACATAGGTATATTAACAGCAATAGTTATTGCAGGACAGTTCATGGCACTCATATTTGGAGTAATCAATTTGGCTTAAGTTCACTAGAAAAAGATATTTTTATTTTGGAATTACATGGTCCTGCATTCTGGAATTACATGGAAAGATAGAATAGTTATTATGCTTCGTGTCCCATCTTAAGTAACTTTCTTTGAAGTTGTTCCTATTTTCCTTTTTCAGTGACATTACTGAAATCAGTAGAGCATTAAAATCAATTTCAAATAAACACAAGTTTAAGCTTCCAGGAAGAAAGATGTTTAAAACTACCACAAAAATGTTGGCACTATTGTCTATGTTTAAACTTGTTTACAAGTTAAAATTTAGGCATAGCCCATTATTGAGACCAGAATAAGAAACTCCACATAGGAAGCAGTTGCTTCATATAAGCATGGGATGAAAGCGCTTTCCCCACAAGTTACTCACTATATCTGGGGCATGCTCCCAATGCTCCACACCTTTATCATCCCACACAACAGGAGGGGAGTCCTAGGTTTTAGCCATCAATGGCAGGACTGCTTATGAATTTTACATGTATTCATTACAAAACAAAAATAAACCTGGCAGCAAAAGCTGAACCTCAGGCCTGAATCATGGCTGCAAGGGAGACAGCTGCATCAAAACAGGTTCTTCTGAGGAAGATACAGATAGAGACACAACTATCTTTTAGAGAAACTACCATGTCTCATTGTTTTAAAAATATGAACAAAGGAGGAAAAGGTAACCTTCCTGACCTATAAGTGGTAGAGAAGCTCCTCATGCTGACACACTCCTGTATGCATTTGGGACATGAGGAATAGACTGGCTACACTTTTCCTGGGATAAGCTCTCCCTCATTTCTCCCACTCCCAAGTGCTGTCTTCCTTATGTCTATATAACTAGGCTCTTCTTTACTAGACTACTGACATGGGGAGAGGATTTCTACTCTTTAGACCTTGTATAAGACTTAGACCTTGTATTTAGACCTTATATAGGACTTTGCAATTCTGCCACTTGAGTTTTTGGGCTTTTTTTTAATTTGGAGGTTGTTTACCTCCAAATTGCATTGCAATTGTCATACTGTAAAATAAAGAAGTAAAAAATCTTCATGTAGGTAAGTTAGCTAATTTATTAAAGTCTCAAATTTGTCCATTTTATACCCAGTAGTCCTACATAAATGAAAGTAATAGTTAATAAAATAGCTAAATAATTTGTCCTAATGCAAAAATGAAACTATTTTTGAATAAGCTAAAAAGTAACGGTTGAGGAATTGTTTTTCAACTTGTTAATTGACTAAGAACTGCTTTTTATTTTCCTTTTTGCTTTATTATATTATTATCCAACTCAAACAAGAATGACTTTAATTTTTGCTATTGTAGTCAGATGGACCTTTCATTCAGTAGTGTCAGTTCTAAGTGCTGATCTGTACAGACATTTGGAAGGTTTGACTGGGCAAAAAATGGCTGGGCTGGTCTAACTTACTTCACCTGAGGAGGTGAAAAGAGTTAAATTGGTAACCGTTTACCCTGATCTAATGAAAGTCTGTACATGTTTGAAGCTCAGCCCCAGAGCTGGGTAAGCCCAGCCCCAAGCCCAACCCCAGCCCTGCACATTTCCTATACACCCCAGGGCTATTTTTAGCTCCGCAACTCCCATATCCACAGATGGACAAGACCGTCCTTGCAGACCTGGCCCACCAACCTCCTCGCCTCCACTGAGCTCCCACCCCCACAGTGCTGCCACACCTTGTCTCACTAACCCCCCATGGACCCACTACCTCACCCAATCCAACCAACTTTTCCCCCCACCATGATATACTTAGATTGCAGTCCCAGTGCAGCTTTCAGCTTAAGCTAACTTCTACCCAAGTAGGACCCGATCTCTGAACACACAGCTTAAAAAAACGCATTTAAAAGTAGATCTGGTCTTACAGAAATGTTTGCATACCCTTGTGATAAAGGAGGCTAGATGAGTTGGATTCTCACCAGCCTGCAGTTTTGATGGGGAGCATCTTGCGGGGCTCAGTGTGGGTAGACTTTATAAATAGCTCCCCCAGTAGATGCCCTTTCACTCCAGGGGAAGATTGTAGTTTAGACCTGAGAGCAGGCCACAGAAACTGTCCCCTGATTAGATTCCCCAAGAAAATTGGGTGACTGTTGTTCCCAGGTTAAGACTATAGTTTTGTTGCAAGTGTGGCTGACTAAGCCTGAGGAGAATGAATGAAGCTCTGAGAGAGCTATGGAGAGAGAGAGCCCCAGGGTGAATCAAGAAAAAGTTCCAGAGCAGACAGAGTAAAATCTGGGGGAGGCAAGAGGGAACTGGAATGGGAGAAGAAAGGCTGGCTGTTCTGAAGCAGCGCCTACTATGCTTTTGGAGACAATTGGCACTTCGATAACCCCCTTCTTTAAAGAAGAAAACACTCTCCCTCCTTCCCAAGGGCTGGCCAGAAAAGGAGCTCCCAAAGGTCGGGGTGCTCTGGATCACTAGGGAAGCCAGGGACTGAGAGAAGCTTGGGTCTCAAAGCCAGGGTCTTACCCCTTGGGAAGCCACACCAGGGCTGGCTGCAAGAAGGTCCTGTCAGGGAGAGGTAGACCAAATAAGACTGCTTCTTTAGGCAGTCCTAAGGAAGAGTTTTCCCCTTCCCCTTTGAAAAGAGGCAAGGTGACCCTTTTTCTTTTTCATTACAACCCATAAAAACCATTTTGCTAACATCTACACGTACCTATAGGAGGGGACTCAAAAGTGGGTAAGTGGTCTCACTTGGGCATAACAAAATGATTCAGAAAGAACTTTTCTCATTTACATTTTTGCAGTGTTTTACAAGACATAAGTCTTTTTATAATCACATTAACATTTTCTCAGTGTTAGAAAAGACATCCGTCTTTTTATGAACATTCCACCCCTGAGAAATCTTGCAGGTGTTCTGGGGCAGATACACACCTCCTCTGCCAGAATTGTTTGGTACAGTATAATTCAGCTGTTTCACCAGTTTCTTTAGAACAAAGCTGTGATAGTTCAGAGGTAAATGAACTCTTTGTACAACACATTTACAGGAGCCTCAAAGGGTACGTTGTAGTTAGCTAACATATCATACATTATTTAAAATTAATTACTGGTATGTAATTGTCAAGCATTATGTTCAGATGGAAAGTGCAGGTTTTGCGACTCTATTAATAAATCTATATAAATAAAATGTAATTAAAAACTAACTCTCTGGAGGTGCTATCTTGCATCAAATGTATAATTTAAATGTTAATATTGGACCTTATCCTTAAAAGTGCAAACAGCCAGCTATAATTCTATGACTTAACTGAGAATTGACTTCAATTGGATTTGATAGTGCCTGGCTTTTTGTGGAAGATGATACATTCCACATAAATTCAGAACCACTATAAGTACGCTGCTTGTTTGAAAATTAAAAACAATATACACTTAGCTTCTGGATATAATTTGGCAGGAAAAAAGAATCACTTCCTAAACCAGAACACAACTTTTGAAAAACTGGAAGAAAGACATAAATTATAAGAAGCAGGCCTGCCTGCTAAAAGATCAATGTGCAACCTGGGAAGCAGGAATCTCATATGCAAATTTCAAGCAACACAGCATGCTTATAATCTTGAAACGTTTCTATGGATACATGATCAGAAAATAGTCATGCAAAGCAATGGGGGATTGTAGATAAGACAAAAGGCTGCCTGATTCTTATTTTGTTAGTTGATTTGGGACTGGTTTAAATAGAATATTTATCTACAGTGGTAGTACTTAATAGTTTTAATATAAACTCACCTGCAACTCTTCTGCTACACACAGATAAATGATATGATGGTATGAAAGCATTGTTTTTGAAAATAATATATTCATGTTAAAAATGACAACCTACCTTAAGAACATCTCCTTGTGCTAAGTGAAATGTTCGGGCTGAAATATTGATTCCTTTCCCTGCTTGTACCTGAATACTATAAATGCATTCATGGTTGTTTTCATAGTTGAGTGGATAATTGGGAGACAGCAATATTCCTTCGTTATTTGTCGTGGAGGCTCCACATTCAGCTGAAAATAAAACAAAATGTTGAGACATAGCTTAACATAAAATATAAATATTATAAGCAATGGTAAGAATGGGAATGTAAATGTTATTTAAAAAAAAAATTAGCATTTTTCCTATATACAGCTGAGTTCTAATATAAATTCATGCCAGTGAAATATTTATTCAATTTATCTAAATGAATATGCACAGTAATTTAAATATGAGTAAATTAATAAATGATTTAAGAATAAATAATACAGGCCATTGCAATGAGTTATTGGAATATGTAAACAAGCCCACATTTGTAGGAGTTCTTTTAATCCCCCTCCCTCCCAATTACTTAAAACAAAAAACAAAAACTAAAAGAAAATAGTACTACTATGAAAGTTATATTGAAGACCTACATAAAAGTAACCAAAAAAATAATAATTTCTAAGGATGAATTAATAAAACAAACATGATAGGTAGATGGTATAAATTATGGTGGAAATAAAGTGCTCTAAATATACCTAGATCAAAGAAGAAAAATAATTTAAATAATCAAAAAGGAAAAAGAAAAAAAAAAGGAAAAAAAAAGGAAAAAAAAAACTAATTCTCACACAAAATCTACAGTAATATGAATTTAAAGTTCAGTGTATCAAATAATAATGGAGGACATAATGCAATCCAATAATACTATAATTATGGCAAGGAAACAGATGGTTAAGGTTAAGCATAAAATAAATCCAGACATCCAAATTCCCAAAATTATGGGGATTACAGTGAAGGCATCCAAGAACCATAATTTTGTAGTGATTTTAAAGTGATAATCTACATTTATAATGTATTTGTAATTAAGACATTTTGAAGATGTTGTGCCAAAATACATTAAATTGCTATTTAAAGAAATGTACCTCCCTTCCCCCTCCACACCCAACCATGGTTACTATATGCTAAAGATGACCGTATCTAGAAGGCTTTCCATATATTTGAAATTTTGAAGCGATTTTAAATTTAACCTGAAACTGAATATCCTCTATTTATAATACTTGCCTCTGGAATAATTGCACAACCCCTAAAATGTATTTTATGCTAAATATCTAATTCTAATATGTATTCTCTACTTTAATACTTTTAAATAAGCTTTTATTAGGTGATTTCTTTAATTTGTCATGTTCAACTCTGAACAACAAGCTACAAAGAAAAATACCAGTTTGTATTTGTAATGCTATGAGGTCGTTTTCAACATTATTGATCTATGATTTGAAGAAATAAAGACACACAACCTTCTAGGGCTTGTCAACACATGCAAGCACGAGTGCTTACAGCATCTCAAATAGAAGTGGTGCAAATTTGAGCCATGGCTTTTTGCCTCAGTGCACGTGCTTGGACATGCACTTTGTTGTGGAGAAAATTGTGCCACTTGGGGCAAAACAACCTTAGCTGGCTCTTCCCAGATCTGCAGCCAGAGGGAGCTAGAGCCTGGGGTACAAAAAGCTGCCCTGGCAAGTAGCTTAGGGCTACTTGCTCTCAGAACCTTCTGGAGGAGGAGCCTCTGGGAGGAAGTTGGTCATGCCCCTTCCTGTCCCAGGCAGCTGCTGCTGTTGCTGCAAGCTTGGCCTCAGGAGCTTCTGGGGAGAAGATGGCTAGGACCTTTGCTACCTCTGGCTACTGTTAGCTGCTGGCTTGGTCTCAGAGCTTTTGGAGTAAGTTGGCCGCACCCCTTCCTGCCTTGGGATGCTGCTGCTGCTGTTGCTGCCCTGCTCCAAGGCGGGGTCCTCTGCTGCACGTAGCTGCCCCACTCAGGGAGGGGCCCACTGCACTGCACCCCAGCACCGTACCCCAGCTTCTGCACCCCTGTTTCAGCCTGCTGCCTAGCCTGCTGCCAAGCTGTGTTCGGGGGTCTGTCTGGGGTGGGAGCCTGAGCTGTCTGTGGGCCTCTTCCCCACCATCACTGCTGGAGCCCAAAGGTACCTTGCCTGCCCTAGCTGCCCTGGCAGGCTACCCCCACCTTCACCTCCACTTTCACCAGAAGCACAACCTGAGTGGCTGAACTGGATGGGTTCCACCATCACTACTGCTGTTGCTGCTGCTGCCCTGTCTCAGGAGAGAGGGAGATTCTGTACTGCACCATCTGACATCACACCTGCACTGGATTACTTCCTAATTGACTGACTGCTCCTACCCTCCCCCACAGCTACCTCACTGCATCTGATCCTGATTTGTCTTCCTGCCTACTGCTCCGCTACTGAGTGCCTGGCTGTAGGCCTAAGGGGCTTCTGGACAGATCTTCCACAAACAAAGCCCCTCCAAAACTCCGGCCATCTTTTTAATCTGCCTCAGTAGCTTTCCTTGTGAGTTTTTGCCCTTGTATGTTAAGTCCTGTGTTCCACTCTCCCTGACCTGGTGTTTGTTGTGTAGCTGAATAAGCCAGAGTGAGTTTCCCCATCCTGTGTGTGTGTGTGTGTGTGTGTGTGTTTTTTTCCACCCTCCCCACATTCTCAAAGCATAGGCCTCCCAGTATTTTTCCTCTGGGGCTGTGGCTCAGAGGAGCTGCCTGCCCCTACTAGATTCACCAGTCCCATGGGATATTTTGTTTTTCTTTGTCTTCCCTGCCCTCCTGTGAAACCATGGCAAGACAGGAACCTTCTGGGGGGCAGATGCCCCCACAAAGCTTCCTGCAGCCCCTGCTATGGGGGTGGATCCCAGCCAAGCCCCCCAGGGGATGCATGTCTCTGCAGCCTCCACCCCAGAGGCAGAGTACAACTTCCTTTGGGGGTGAAAAAGCCTGCAACCTCTTTTGCAGGGGCAGGTAGGATTCCAGTAGGGAGCCAACAGGGCCAAGGGGTCTCCCCTGGACAGGCCCCCTCTCCCATCATTGGGGACCAAAGGCAAGGGCAGTGGGAAGGGCTCCTCTTCAGCCTCCTCCACAACTGGGAGTGAGAAGGGCAAGGGCCCTGCCCCCACGCCTAGACTACAAGTGCCTGAGGGGACCAGATGCACTACAGCAGCCAGCACACCCACTCAGTCTGTCCCTGGACCCTGGGGGAGGAGGGGAACCACAGCTATGCACAGGCAACTGCTGGGAGACCTGAAGTCAGGGGGCCTGGACCCTCCATCGCTGGCCCTTCCAGCTCAGGCAGCAAGGCTCCCTTTCCAGCACTCACCCACAGGCATAAGGTGAATTGCCAACTGCCCAAGTGGGAGAACCTAAACTTTGAGATCTGAGTATAGGCCCTGGTTCAGGTAGTCAGGGCCCCCAAGTTCATGGTGGCCTTCCACTTCTGTGGCAAGGGGGTCTTTTTCCTTGCCTCAGAGGCTGCTGTACAAAAGACAGTGGAGAGGGGGCTCATGGTGAAGGGCAAGTACATCCCTCTCAAGCCTCTAGAAGAGCCGGTGACCAGGGTGGTCCTCAGCTCCATTCCTCCATATATCTCCAATTGGGCCCTGCTCCCCCAGCTCCAAACCCTGGGGAAAGTTATCTCCCTGGTGGGGGCCCTTACACTGGGGTGCCAAGACCCTGGCCTCTGCCACGTGCGCTCTTTCTGTCACCAGGTCATGATCCAGCTGGCAGCCAGAACACAGCTGGAGGCTGAGGGGTACCTGGTAATTCCTTATGAGAGGGCCCTGGTGAGGATTTTCTATACACTGGGGGACCTGTGGTGCTTCCGATGCCATGCCCCAGGGCACTCACGAGTGCCCCATGGGCCAGGGGGGGAGGGTATCTGTGGGTCCCACTGGAAAGAGGGGTGCCCCTGACACCTGAGCCACAACCATGACCCCCCCCACCCCCATGAGCTCCAGGGACCCTGCCCTCCCAACCAAGTTTGGTGGAGTCCCAGGGAGGGCACCAGCAACCGGGGGGAGAGAGGGAGCAGAGCCCCTCCCCCTTACCTTCTCTTGCTGGAGCCTGTCCACCGGTGGACCACCCCATGGCTGAATGGGTGCAGGTCCTCTCTGGGCGTAAAGGCAAGAGGAAGGCCCAGGCACAGCTGGAGCACTCTGATGTGGAGGACTCATCTCCCCCTCTCAAGACCACCACATGATGGGAAGGACCGGCCCAGCCTCCAGGGGCCTCCCCAGCTGTGCCTGACACCCCACCCCTGGAAACAATCAAATGGATGATCCCCATGGAGGAGGTTTTGGGGCTGCTGGATAGTCCTGAACAGGAGCCCGCAGAGGAATCCCTTAATTCTGCTGACCATGGCCTACCCCCTGAAACATGGAGCTAGCATTGAGCTGCGGATGGCATCCCAAGTTAAGGATAACAAGAAATCATTTTTCAGTTATGTAGGGAGTAAAAGGAAGGCCCAGGGTGGAATAGGACCCCTACTAAATGGGCAGAAGCAATTGGTGACAGACAGGGGGGACAAGGCTGACCTCTTCAATGAGTTCTTTGCCTCAGTGTTCCTGACTGAGAGGCAAGACAAGTCTCTCACTGGAATTGTAGAGAGGCAGCAGCAGGGTGCCAGACTACCATGTGTAGACCCAGAGATGGTGCACAGTCACTTGGAGGAACTGGATGCGTTTAAGTCAGCAGGCCCAGATGAGCTCCATCCGAGGGTACTGAAGGCACTGGCTGACGCCATTGCACAGCCACTGGCAGGAATATTTGAACACTCGTGGCACACGGGCCAGGTCCCAGAGGACTGCAAAAGGGCCAATGTGGTCCCCATTTTCAAGAAGGGGAGCAAGGAGGACCCAGGCAACTATAGGCCAGTCAGTCTCACCTGCATCCTTGGCAAAGTCTTTGAAAAAATTATCAAGGCTCACATTTGCGAGAGCCCAGCAGGAAAAATTATGCTGAGGGGAAACCAGCACGGGTTCGTAGCAGGTAGATTATGCCTGACTAATCTAGTCTCTTTTTATGACCAGGTTACAAAATGCCTGGACGCAGGAGTAGGGGTTGACGTCATATACTTAGACTTCAGGAAGGCCTTCGATACGGTATCCCACACCATACTGGTGAATGAGTTAAGAGGCTGTGACTTGGATGACTACACAGTCCGGTGGGTGGCAAATTGGCTAGAGGATTGCACCCAGG